GAGGTGTTAACCATTGGAACACTCTAGTGGCGTCCATCAGCTCTTTAAACACCTATTCATGTGGTGGTCTTTGTGCCCTTGGCCTTTAGATCACTCCTCTCAAAAGTGACCTCCTGTCATCTGAAGAGGAAGCCATCACTACTCTATAAACAAATGTCAAATACATATCTATTCCAGATATGAATAAAAAGAGAAGTTTTGTGTTGTAACGGGGCATGAGTTTTCAAAAAGCTCACATCACAAAGAAAATCATCAGTCCTCAACACAGTGGGAGTGATGCATATGGCCCTCGTGGTATTAATGGTTTCATTTTTCCCCATTGCAATGCTGGAGAGCAGCCAGAAGAGGGCACCAGCAACACAGTATTCTTTTAGGCCACAGCTGCGGGCCTGGGTTACCCTACCATCAAGGGGAAAACACGCTTTAATGACTGTTTTATTTGCTTCAGCTGTAAGTCTCCAAGACTTAAAATTACTGGGCCAAAACCACACCAATACCATAGAAAACGGCAAGTCTTAAGTGCTCAAAAACAATACAACATGGGTAATCGTACAGCCCCCAAAGTAGCAAGGAAACAGGGAATATAAAGTAGGGCCTTAATGATGTAGAGAGAAGAAAACAAGAACAAAGAGGGGAGAGGGCTGAGGCAGGGACAAACAGACAATTACTGAGAGGGGAATGGCCATGGCATTCCTCAAAGAGCGAGCTCAAGGCCATGCCCAGTGTGCTGCATCTCAGGTTCACACTACAGCAAGCAAAACTGCTTGCCAAAAAAAAAAAAAAAAAAAAAAGCAAAAGAAAGGAATTCCTTACTTAGACACAAAATGCCCATTCTGGATCTTGTGTGGTACAGACAAAGGGACGGATCAGAAACCCAAAGCAAATAATTCCACACCAGAAAGAGTCCTTCCAGGGCAATCTTTGATATGTATCCAGACTTCTAGAACTATGTAATTAAAGCTTTTGGGCCTCACATGACATTGTTCTCATATCCATAAGTATTCATATGTATATAGTCATGTTTATAAGGAGTGGAAAGAGGGACTTAGGGATAGAGTGAGGGCAGGGGAGGGAAAGAGAGACAGAGACAGCAGGAGACACATACAGAGAGAGAAAACTATCAAGAGAACATAAACCAAGGTCAGACAGTCCTGGGTGGAAACTGCAGACCCCTGTGCTTCACAGGGCACCAGTGGTAAACATGTTCAACATCCTGAGACACAAGCTCCTAACTAAATCTTTCCAAAGAATACCTGACAACTTTGTGTATTAATAAACTTCAAAAAACATCCCAGAAAATCTCAGCATCTTCAAAGACAGAAGCAAAGGATTCAACACCAGCAGGGTGTGTTTCCCAGCCCTGGACAACCAGGGCACCACAGTGCCTGGATTGAGATCAAGACTTCTTCAAGCACAGTTTAGTGTGTTCTTGATGCTGTCTAACTGCAGGCTTCTCCTGAAACTGGGTCTTCACCCCAAGACTTGGAGAAAAACCAAACCATGACTTCTGGCTCCCTAATATCTCCAGATATTAATGCAATATTTTGTCTTTTAACCAAGATGTTTTCTAGATCTAGTAAAAGTCTGAACTTCCAATTACAACTGCTTCGTAAGCACATCTTCTTGATTTAAACAGTGGTTTCAGTCACTGTGCTATTAAAATCATGTTGTTAGAGGAGGAATCTAACAATCAGACCATCATATTCTAGTCAGAGGTCAGCAGCTTTAGTGCCTGGATTCAACCAGCCCAACATCTAGTCTGTTTGTTCTGCTTATATTAATGCAGTTTTCACAGAACATAGTCATGTCCATTGGCCTATGTACTTTTTACGGATGCTTTTCCACCATATTACCCCAAGTTGAAGAGCTGGCACTCATGGGCCAGGAAACCTAAACTAACTACCACGGGGCCTTGTGTCTAAACTGTTTGCCAACCTAGATCTAGACAGAAGGTTTCATAAACAGGAATGATTTTGTAACAATTCAAGGAAAATGCTGAGCTCTTTGGTAACAGAGAATGATTCATCAAAAATAACTTTTATGAGCAAAACCCACGAAATAAAACAATGTATCAAAATTAACCATCTTCCAGCTGTTTTCCAGGGCTGAAGGGGTAACTTAAACATCTGAATACCTTGGAAAGCCCCCATCATAACTGGAAGTCAACATCTCATCAGTTACATGTATTTGAACTTCCAAATCAAATTAAAAGTTAAATTTATTATTCCATTTAAGGAAAATAAAATAAAAATACTCCTCTTTTGTGAATAATGACTATACACTCTCCAATGATATAAGGAGGGGGATGAGCCAGAGGAACACTGTGTTAAGTGAAATAAACAAGGCTCAGAAAAGCAATGCTGTGTGTTCTCATTTGTATAAGGAGTCTCAGGGAAGTTGAGAGTAAAATGGTGGATATTATGGGACAAGAAGGACATAGGGAAGAGAGAGGGGGACAGAGGTTAATCACAGGCATAATGTTACAGATGTGTGGGACAAGCAGTTCTGAAGTTGTGTCACTCATTAGAATGACTACAACCAACAAACTATATAACGTGTTTCAGAAGGTGAAGATAGTCAATGTTGTCACCTTGATAAGCTGTTTAAGGTGATGTATAAGCAAACTGTCCACATACAATCATTCCTTATGTTTGTACATACCTAAACATGATACCCCATAAATGTGTGTCAATAAAAATTAAAACAGCAAAGTTTGAAAATAGTGCACCTGAGCCCCAGTGTTTCATTCTCTTTCTGACATGGCCATAGCTTCATCATCACCCAAGTAAACCGACCGCTGTATACGGATGTGCAGTGGTTGTATTTGAATGACTCGCCAAGAATGGGCTAGCTAGATAACTCACATATATAAGAGAGGATCAAAAGATTAGAAAGGAGAACAAAAGGATCCAGGGCCTATGATTGTCCCCAAAATTAAAGATTTGGAGGAAAGAGAATCCCAAAAATATTAAGGTTGTATATATGTATATATGTTTGTGAGAATATATGCATTGCAAAATTAAAGTCACACACACACATACATACAGCAAATTTGTTTGAGGACCTGTAAAATTAAATACACTTTCTGCAGAATATTCTTAACACCTGAGGAAGTTGTCACAAAATGGACTTGACAATGCTCTTTTTTGACATAAGTAGTCACTAGGACACTTAGCAGGTCAGGTCATCTATAAGTGGTCGCTGGCATTGGTTCAATATCACATCCCTGGGCTGGAGAGATGGCTCAGTGGTTAAGAGCATTGCCTGTTCTTCCAAAGGTCCTGCGTTCAATTCCCAGCAACCACATGGTGGCTCACAACCATCTGTAATGAGGTCTGGTGCCCTCTTCTGGCCTGCAGGCATACACACAGACAGAATATTGTATACATAATGAATAAATATAAAAAAATCACATCCCTCATATGTTATCTCAGCTATGAAGAGCTAGGTGACCCTATAGATACATGAAATGTATCTATACACATGAACGTTTTATGACAAATATAAAACACACACATGATTCAAATGACAGGTAAGAAATTGTGGTACTGAATACAAAATAATAGACTTACTCACAAGTGCAATGCAATATCCTCTGTTTTACTGCTACACATTAAAAGAGAGAGTATTTATTAAGAAGAAAGGATGTACCGGGTGATAGTGGTGCCCATCTTTAATCCCAGCACTTGGTAGGCAGAGGCAGGCGGATCTCTGTTGAGTTCGAGGCCAGCCTGGTCTACAGAGCAACAGTTCTAGGGTAGTCAGAAGTATTCAAGAAACAAAAAGAAAAAAGGAAAGAACAAAGGCAGAGACACACACACACAAGGGATGTATTTCACACAGTTCTCACAGACAGAAGCTGTATAAATTAGATCAGATTTGTGGAAGACAGCACACGCACATGCAGTAAGGAAGGGTTGTAGGGAGAATTCTGGTGCACAGGTGGTGTGAATAGGAGAAGAATATGGATGTGACAGACGAGCTAGCCATGCTCCAGGCTTGGAGGCGGCAGATATGAGAAGTGGAAGCCAACTTATGTATGATTGAACACAGGGCCTGGTGCAGTGTCCATATAGCAGAAGATAGATCGACACTACCTTGTCCACTGATGCTACCCAAGGAAGGACCAGCAAAGCATGTGTGGACATATAGGAACAGCATGGGCAGTATGCCAGGAAGAAAAGTCTTAACTGGCAGGTGGCAGGAGTTACTCAAGAGCAGAACAGAAAAAAAAAAAAAAAAAAAAAACAGTTACTACCTGCTCAGCTGCATGTCTCAACCCTCTTAACTGAGGGCAGGCCATCATGAACAAAGATGGCATCCATAAGTGGGGGCCCAAGGACACAGAAAATATGAACAAGCCTCTTGGGTGATTCACACGTACAAAGGACTTGAAGCAACACGTTGAGTTTAAAAGAGAAAGTGTATTTGTGCAGAAAACCATGGTCTATCTTAAAAATGTATTGCAAAGTAAGAATTGATGTTTATTGCGCAACAATATGGGTATTGTGGTCTCAATTTAACTTCTCTCTGTATAGAAATGTATAGAGACTTGTATAGAAGACAAAGAAAAGACAGATCATGGCTACAAGAAGGAGCCTCTAGGGTCTCAAAGCAGGAGGGAAGAACTTTAAAGGCTATCTGCATCAATTAATCTCATTGCCTCATCTTAGAAATCCAGTCACTGTTCAAAGAAGCGGTAAGACCAATAAACTATTTGCTAGACCACTTGCTATATACCAAATACAAATTACCATGGCTATTTCATTCTAGAAATATATGTTGTTATTACTCTTTTTTTTTAAGGATACCAGCATGTATCCCTTTTAAATACCTCACAGTCAATGGATATGGAAGACGCTGAAGCTGTGAGTCTGGTGTGAGGGAACGAGCTCCTCTCTAAACAGTGCGAGATGTACAATGCCTGATGAAGCCTTTGGAGCAGGACACAGAGAGGCTCTTTATGGCTACTGAGCAAACGCACAACAGACCAACTTTACCGCAGCGATCCCGGACCACGAGGTTGCGGCCTTCCTTCAGGTGTATGGTGAGGAGGTATGCGAAGGGGCTGGGGAGGTGGCTCAGGCAATCCCCGGCTTCTCCAAGCGTCTGCACAGGTGAGAAAGGGATCCAAGTCAGTGACATATGGGCCCAAGTAGAGACATCGCTTACTAATCAGGAATGGCAAAAAAAAAAAAAAAACAGTGGTCAAGGATGAACCCCCGCTGTAGCAGGCTCTGATAACATGCTCATTAACTGCATTACCAGCCAATTACTTTATATTCCCCCCAGTGCGATTGTCTCTGAATTCAGAGGTAGTCGTGAGTATAACTTCACAAGATGAACTTCCCAACACAGATGGTATGTCGATGTCCGAAACCCCTCAACCCCTTAATTCATTGTGAGATCTCTTATAAAACTAATCACTCGGCCTGGAGAGATGACTCGGCAGCTGGGTGCTTGCTGTGTCATGATGAGGACTGGCGTTTCAGCCCCAGCACCCACATAAGAAGCCAAATATCCTGTACGTATCTGCAACTCCAGCTCTGAGGGAGTAGAAACAAGAGGTTTTTCCGGGTTGGCTGGCATCTAGCCTAGCACAGAAAATACAAATGTCAATCCAGGGAGAGATTGTGCCTCAAAAGGAACAAGTGGAAGGTGATGAAAGGGGTATGCCCTGTTGTAGCCTCCATGTGCACAAAAGCAAGTGTACCCACATGCATAGGTATGTGCACGATCATACACACACACACACACACACACACACAAGAGTGGGTGGGGGATAAACTTTTAAAAATAAGAACAGAACACCAGAGAAGGAATAGTATGGAGAAAGGAGGATGGGGCGTGTCCCCAAAGCCACCTCAGCTGTGGAAGTCTCCCTCTTCTCTATATCCTCACCAATCCTCACCAACTCCAGCAGACCTCCTGCACAAGGGCTATAAGTTCAACTCTCACTGTGAGTCTCCATCTTCCAGACACAGGTTCTTCACCCGAGTCCCCAAGTCCACACTTGACGGTCTCTGCTCTGGGCTCTCCAGGGTAGGGACGTTTCACTTTCATCCCTCAGTCCCTTCCTTGGTGTCCCGCTCTACCCTTCTGCTGCTGTCTGGTCCCCTAAGCGCTGCCACTTCACTCTCTGGGAATTCGTCAACTGTCACGGGCCCCAGCGACAAAGCCGACTATTTTCGAGTACCTGTGAATCCTATGAATCCCCTATAATGCTCGAGCCAGTTCAAGCTCCCAACTTTCTTCAAAGAACAGGTAGAATGATTTATTAATCATTCATTAGACACTCAACCAATTGATCTTGTGGCTGCAGCTGCCCTTGACTTTTCAAAGTTTCAGAAGGCTTCAAAGGGCTTTGTCCTCTTTCCTTCCAAACACAGCTGCATGGTTACTGTGTATTTTTAGACAGATCTATTCCAAGCTAACCAATCAATAAACCCGAATTAATCTCTTCCAGCTAGAACTTCCAAGACACGTTTCTATTGGTGGGTACCATTTTATATGTTTTAAGGAGAAATAAGCCGAGAAATATAAGCAATTGGTTAGACGTATTTACAAGGCTGACATCAGTGTTAGGAGTAATGAACGTCACTCACAGATTCTTCTTCAAAATGATGAGATGTCATAGAAGTATTAAGATCGTCGTTGCCATGCGGCTTCTGAAAAAAAAAAAAAAAACTCTGCTTTAGGAAAGCAAATGACATTCATTGCCTTGTGATCATGTCCCGCCTCGGTCCTTGGGAATTCTGATATTTGCATGCCTGGTTTCAGGTATGGGGGAGGCTTTGCTAGATGTGTGGCAAGAAGAGGTGAACTCAGAGGTGTCGATTGAGCCATGGCCTCTGAGACCTAGGTTATCTATGAGAGCATGCTCGGGTACGAAATAATAAGTACATCCACGCATACAGCAAACAACATGTTTTAATTCGCTTGAAGACAACCATCAGGGCACATAGCCATGCCCCTTCCAAGGAGGAACTGCCTGGTCTGCAACCGCCAAACTAAACCGAGCTGCCCAGCCCCCAGAGAATTCAACATGCACAAACTAGGAATCCATTCAATATGTGATTTGGGAAATCTTTTTCCAACTAGATAGCTTGGGTCCCACAGGTGTCAAAAGACCAATCCAAAACTAGGAATCAGGAATTCCCAACGGATGACTTTACAGGGTCATATGTATGTCATTGTGTCAATATGCTACGATTCTCAGAAAGGGAGGGGTGACAGAATACACGTCTGTCAATAGGAAGTGTCATGTTCAGCAGCCTTCTTGGGCTAGTCGTGTGCACACAGACCAGGGAACATCTAGAAAAGCTCAAGGGTTTGCAGCGTTAGCGAGCAGTGGGAGAGCCAGGGTGATGCCCGCAGGGAAACACAGACAGGAGCTGGCTGGGTTCCTGGGCAGCTTTCTTAGGAATCTGAGCATGCCGCCATTTGCCTGGCATATCAGTTCAGATAATTACTTGTATGAACAAAGATACCATGCCTTGCTCTAGTAACTGGGGGACTCCAAAGTTATAATCCAGTGTGGGGACCAGGAGGCCTGCAGAGAAAGCTTGGAAAACAGTTCCCTGGTACGCAGGCTGTGCTTGGAGGCACAGATGACCTGAGTCTTCCTATTCACTGGGGTATGCTAAGCAGCCTTCCTCACTAATACATACACTCCCAGACCTTGAGACAGTCCCAGCATAAGAGGGCCATTTTTCATCCTCCACAATGGAGGGTAAAGAGTTGCGGAGAAGCAAAGGCTCCCTGACCTCCCCCCTCCGCATTTGATAACATCCAGGAGGCCATAACACACAGAAATGGCGTGCGTACCAATAAGCTTTCAGCCAGGAATAATAGGTGCCCTGCAGCTCTCGATTCTACTGTTCTCAGACTTTTCTCTGTCTCCCCCAACTCTGGGTCCAATGTCCCCAGAGCATAAAGACCTCGTGGCCAATTCATATGAACTCACCTAGGAAGGGGGGAGGGAAATATCCTGTGCTTTGAGTTTTCTCTAGGGCGCATACACTCCATTTACTACATCCGCTGTGAGTACTATCAGTGACCCAACACCCATGTGAGGCCCAGCCTAATGATAGACAAGAAGGCAACAACAGCTCCAGAGCCAAGAAAACCTCTCCTTCAGGTTCTTGCTATCACCTTGATTGACTGTTTCTAAACTGACACCCAGGCAAGATAGGCGGGGCCATCAACAATTAGACTCTTACCCAACTTTCTTGATGTCCAAGAATTCATGGCATGTCTTTTATACTGCACATTACCAAGCCCCCAATTTCTGCCTGATTTATCATGTCAATACTGATGTTTCAATATAACAATAACCAGCAGATTCTGATGCTCTGCAGTATGGAAAGTCTCCACCATCATTTAATTTTATTAGAGGAATCAATGTTCCATTTGACCATTTTTGAAGGTCGTCTTACAAAGCTACCAGGGCTGGGAGCAGAGTTCTAGTTGGCTATTCACTGAGTGTCATAATAGTCTGCCATCTTCTACTTCATCTACATATTTACCTTTGGTGTGTGTGTGTATGTGTGTTACAAGTAAGCCTGTGGACCATATGCATGCCTGGTGCCTTTGGAGGCCAGGAGAGGATGTTTCAGACCCTGAAACTGGAGTTAGGGAACACAGTGTGCTGAACCCTGGGTCTTCTGTAAGAGAAATGTTGAGCCATTTCTCCAGCTCCTCATCTTCCATTTTGAAGTGTGTGGATGGCTAAACGACATTATGCTAAAACATGATACTCTGTATACAATCTCCAATGTTAGCCTTATTCTATTTCGTAATAATGCTACTTAAATGACCAAATTAGTCTGTATATGTGCCATAATATATATACTACTGAAAATGAACGCCAAGTCTTTATTTAAATACGCTGTAAGTTTCCCACTTATAGCAACAGGGAAATTCCATGTGAGCAATGCCATTAATTCAACATTACGGCTGGTTTTACTCACAGAAGTCACCGAACTTAAAGTTATGGTTCCCACAGCCACTGTAACTGTCATCCACTATATATCCACGGGAAGGAAGGAAAATGATTACCATAAGAAGAGAAAGGCATTCCATATGCACAAGAGGACGAGTTACAGCAGCTGGGAGACACATAACTTAAAGCAGTCTCGTGCACTCTTACCCAGAACCCAGAGAATTATCCACTGAGCAGAAGAATCTATAACAGTCCCATCTCTTCCGTAAGCCTAGTAACTAGATCTAGGAGTTATGACTTGGTGTCTTAGTAAAAGGAGCACAATTATATTTGCATCATAAGGAATGGCTGATAATCCTCTGCCGCTAGATGTTGGTGTTTACGTTCTGAGTAAGAATAATCAGCATGTTGGGTTTGCTAAAACACATCAAAGTAAGATCGCCACGTTGCTACGAGTGTTGTGACTTTAAAGAGGCGTAGATGTGAACAACTGCTCTATGGTGGGGATACACAACAGTTCTGCCACTCAGGAGACTCCTCCATTCTATCCCACTATGCTAACATATTCCTCCTCTTCCTCAGCCAAGGCAACTACTGATCTATTTCCATCATGCTACCTTGTCATTTATAGATTGTCTCGTCAAAGACGTCATGCAGTATGTCAGCGTATGGCACCTTTCACTTTGCACACTGCCTTTGAAACCATCCAAGTTCCCACCATTATCATGTCCCTTAATTGCCAAGCAGGATTCTGTACAGAGTGAAGAATTACTGAGCATCAGTTTGAGGATTTTAGACGAATTATTTTTAAGCACATACTCAGGAAAGGATGGATAATTTTGGACATTATAAAATCTAATAATTCACACCAAAATATATTAGGGCAATTATTTCCTACATGATGTGTACGTGAGGGTGTTTAGCCCTCCTCCAGGGCAACAGGTGTCTTTTCTTTGATTTGTCTCTAGAGACACATGGCTTTGCATTCTACTATAGAGTACTACGCCATAGGGGAAGCTAACCCAAAATTTGTGTCCCCTGTAGGTGTGAATCCCCAACCTAAAAGAATGAAAATTCATTGAAACCCAGAAGGGCGCAGGGAGGTTTGAGATGGATACAAGGTGTGTGTGTGTGTGTGTGTGTGTGTGTGTGTGTGTGTCCGCGCACGCGCGCAGGCGCACGCACTCGCTCGCACGCGTGCATGTGCACGCGCGCACGCATGTGCGTGTGTGTGTCACACGTGCATGCAGGCCTGTCTGCCTGTCTGTCTGTCTGTCACAGAGCCAAAGACATGGCTCTGTTGGTTAAAATACTTGCTAACCAGCGGAAAGACCTGAGTTTTATTGACAGATGCCATGTAATGAGGTGGGCATCCTAGTGCACACTTGTAATATTAGGGCTGAGGAATAGAACCAGATGTATTTCTGAGGTTTGCTGGAAAGTAGCTTTGTCTATTGGGTTAGCTCCAAGCACTGAGAGACCTTGTCTAAGCAATCAAAGTGGTCATCTCCTGAAAAGAAAGACCTAAAGCTGACCCCTGACTTCTACACACAAATACAGACATGCAGGCACGCTTTAGCACATGCGATTACATGTATATGAATGTAAATACACTCTTGCACATGCACACACACACACACACATACACATCTGTCACCAAGGAATCTGAAAGCAAAACATTGGTATGAACAAATGAATTTTGTCTTTTCCATACACTTAATGTGATCTTGTATGAATGTGACCTCCCATGTAGTTCTTGCTGTGCTGTATACTCAAAAACCACAACAAAGTGTGTCATCCCTGGGTGTCTGATTTCAGGAGAACAAGGCATATACCTACACAGACAAGCTAACAATGAGGCAACACTGGCGGAGATCAATTATTTCATTTTAAAACTTATCCATGAAAGCATATGAGTGCATATCTGAGTATTAAGTGGCATATTATTTAAATTCTGTAACCTGTCTGGCAGTGGTTGTGCACGTCTTTAACCCCAGTACTCAGGAGGCAGAGAGAAGCAGATCTCTGTGAGTTTAAGGCCAGCCTGGTCTACAGAGCAAGTTCCAGGACAGGCTCCAAAAGCTAGAAAGAAACCCTGTGTTGGGAAAAAAAAAATCCTGTAACCCATTCTAGGGTTTCAACCCTATGAATATTCAAGAATATGCAAACACTATAAGACATAGAGAGCAATAACATAAACAACAGGAATGTGATGGCCAGACAGGTCAGAGAAGCTATTAACTATTTAAAAATATCAGGTTCATAATGCTAACATCCAATAGAAAGGTAGCTTTCTTATTAAAATGCAACAATTTAAAAGTTCTATATCAACAGAAAAGACAAGAACAAACGGGCATGAAAACCTAAATATCTAAAATTGGTTTTTGGTTTGTTCCTTTCATCTGAATTCCAATTCTGCCTGTTCATTTCTGTGTTCTCCGTGCAGTAACCTCAGAAGTGAGTTGTGGCAGACACCTTTTCACCCACACAGTCAAACACAGTTAGTATCTGGATAGCTGCAAGAAAGAAAAAAACAAGCCAATTCCTGATATAAGTGCTTGGCCAGTTCCCAGGCACTTCTTGAACCAGAAGTAATATTTACAAATGACCTTCCTTCTTATTTGCAAGAGCTGTGTTAGCTGAACAATCCATCCCTTAATGTTTTCTTATCACTCCATAACTCACAAACACACCCATTATCATCTTTTATAAAGAAGTCCAAAG